AAAACAAACAAACAATTCTTATGTTTGAAGCAATAAAGTAGTTGTGGTGCTGAAATACCACATATTTCACTCTCTCTTAAGGTAGATATTTTATATTTACACATTTTATAAACGTTTCGAGAGTAGTAATTCGGAACATGCTAAATCTGATCGAATATCTATGTTAATTCAACCCTATATGTTTCTTTATAAAGAAGGATTCAGCCAAAGACGCTGTCTTTGTATAGGATAGTTATTTTGTATTTTATTTTACGTTACTGACTATGTAGATGTCTTCGTATACATGTGTTCCAGTTTTTGTGATTAGTCAGTTGCGGAGATCGGGAAAATGTTGATTGTCAGAGTAGTTTTTAACCAGATTATTGTCGTCTTGAAAGAGATGACTTACTTATTAATTCTTATCCATGTTTTAGCTTCTACAAACGTTTCCTTTTCGCCTGCATATTCTTTCCCCATCAATACCCCTCCCACTTTTTCAGTTTATTTCAAGTAGTTAATATTATTGTTTCTTTTATTAAATATAATTTATTTTATTTACTTTCCATTTAAATATATATTTTTTATACTTTGATTTTTATCGCAACGAAATAGTTCCCACAGTTAACCATCAGCCAGTTTGTGTGTTATTCTCCTGTCAATCAAGCTTTTTTTTTGTCTTCATTCTGCTACTACTAGAAATAAATTACCATACCTGTACCATATGCAAGATCCGCGAATTTCTCGTGGTTGCAAAGATCGGGTAATTGTATGTTTGGTTTATCTTTGAAAAACCACATATAACGATACATTTGCTTCCACGTGAAGCCTAATGTTGTAATAAACTCAATAGGCCCGAGCTTACAACTTCGTTTTTACTTAGTATCCCGTTAGTATATTTTATACTTTTTAAATTATACATGTATGGTATGTCTACAAATAAATCAATTGATGTCGTGAGTGTGTTAAGGTACGAGTTCTTTTAACGATTCTGCTAGAGTGTAAGCATTATTAAATGTTACGAAATTGTACTTTTAGCATGCTATAGTTCACGACTTCTGAGATTAACTCAAATCTTAAACTACTTTTACATTCTTTTTGCAAGAAATACCAGCATTATTTGATACAATGCAAACATACTGAATAGATGGCAACTCTCAGGAGAATTTTTTGAGTTCCATTTTATTTTTCCATGTTTAAGTTATTAAGCACATTTAAAAGTTTGGCAGGGCCTTCTTTTTCAGACTATTTATCATTTAAATATCTCGTATGTCTGGCATGATATGTGTGTGTGGTTATCAGTAGGTATCAGGCTTCTTCTTCTTCAGAGTATTGAAACTTTATTTTTTTATTTTGTGTAACAGAGCATTCATCTGAGATTTTGTTGAAGCTATCAATCCATTCATTTATCTGTATGTCTATCTATATGAGCTGCTGATTTGTACACTAATGTCTAGAGTATGTGAGATATTATTATCACTTTACTTCCTCTAAATTGATTAAATAGAAATGACAGAATTGGTCACCTGCTAATGATTATCGATTAGATTGTATGGGGCTTCACATTATTTGGTGAGAAGTGCTACTTAAGTACACTTTTGGGCAAGCTTGTTTTTATTTGACACTATTAACAGTTTTGATAAAGAGATCCGTAGGCCAAGAGGCTTGATTTTTTGAGAAACTGGATTGTTATTGTAATTTATTATGACTCTCACATAATTGTTAACATGAATGAGTAAAGGCATAATGGCCCTCTCTGTCATATTTTATATCCATAGAAATTAGAAACAATATTAATTATTCAAGTATTTTAAAAAATATATTGAATGTGCATTGCTTTGAAAAGGAGTTTTTTGGTGGATGATGAAATACGAAAAATAATTGTTTTAATATCACAATTTCCATATTTTGAACAATACACTGGACAAGAAAAAATCTGCTACTAGAGAAAACTCAATTGATAAGGGATAATTTGATGGTGTTGATTTCAAAAATGTAGTCAACATTTATCTATCGCCTCTAGATTTCAAGTTATTGTAACATCTCAGTATTTTATCAGCACTATGTGAAATACCATGCAATCACTTCAGTACAATAGATTTATGCTGTGAAATTTAATTTACTTGAACAGTTTAATGGGTAAAAGGTGTACATTATTAGTCACTTCAAACCCTGACTGTATTGTATTGGTGTAAAATTCCAAACATGTTGTTCATATATGCTATTTGTTCTTGATATATTTGTAGTAAATTGCATCACTTTTGTTTCATGTCCACCCAGGAATCAGGAAACCCTCACATCTCAGTTTACTAGTAAATTTGAGAAGTTCCTCTACTGAGCATAAAAGAGGTAGAGTCAGATGTCTCTCACTCACTCAGTTGATCAGTTTATCTTGCTCTGCACACAGTCAAAATAAAGTCTGATCTTCTTTCTCGCATCATACCTGCAATATAATCAAATTCTACAAAACCTTGTTGTTGTTTTTATTCTTTTAAACTCTAGTTCTGTAAATGTAAATTATTTTATATTTTTTTTTAGAAAATAATTTGCAATGCTGGCTACCTCCAGTTCAAGTAAGGGCAGAAAGTGCAAAGTCTTGCTTCTCGCTATAGCATGCAAGATACTTTGTGTTTCTGTACAAATGTTGATGCATTAGTGGTAAAATTAGGCACTGAACACCATTCTCAAGAATGTGGGCTTCTTATTGACTCATCTAAAGTTAGTCTGAAAGCTATACTTTTGCACATTGAGAACACTAAGCCATCGATTCCTGTTGCTCATGTTTTGAACATAAAAGAAATTTATCATAGCATGTAGATTATACATTTTTATATGCAATTTTTAATAAATAAAGTTATAAAAGAAAAAATTGGTATTTTCATAATATATATAAAAATATTTTGAATCAGTCTATCGTAACTCAAAAACTAGAGATGATCAGTAACTTTCAACATGATTTTTAGAATCAGCATTGTTAAATTACTCGGAAACAGTTGAATTTTTTCTAGTAGCAGAGAAAATTTTTTTTGTTGCCCATGATAATTTTGGGCAACATGGAACAACAAAAAATGAAGAATAGCATTTATAAAATTACAACTTAAAGCAGTTACATGAACTTATATCAGATGAGGAAAGTACAAAGCTTTTTGAATGTATGCTATTAGGTGCAGATATATTTCGTAATTTTCTCTTGAAACCAATGTAACATTTTGGAGATCCACATTTTAAATGTTTCTCAGTGGAAGAGTTTTCAGACGTACAATACTAAAATCTGGTGTTTTTTTTCCCTGTGATAGATACAGCACAGATTTTCCATTGTGTAGCTTTGTGAAAAAAAACAACAAACAAGCATTCTAAATATTGAATATATGTGTATGTACACATACTTGAAATCACTATTCTTATTAATTTGGGAAATAGTAAAAATGTAATTTATGTGAAATAAACTTTCATGTTTCTAAAATGGCATTTAAATATTTACAAAAACTATGTAAAAACTATTGGAAAATGCACTATTTATGATTCTTGAGGCTCATTATAGTTCACTCATTGTACAATTGGATATTTTGTAATACATATTCCACAACATACTTACCTCTGCTGCCACTTATAGCTATTACTCGACCACCAGTGTATCAACTTTGCCCATCTAAGCATTGGTCTGATTTTTTTTTGCTTGCTTCAGTCTTTTATACCCCACTCAATTGCCCTTGTGATATTTATCTGGTGATACTCTCTACCTAGGTCAATGCACCCTCTATCTTGGTACTGTATATAAGCACCTCATTCAGATAATTTTATCACTTTTTCTTGACAAAGCGTTTACACAGGTTTCTCTACAGAAGTGCTGCGATAATTAACGTCATTGGTTGCGCTTTTCCCGTCGCCTAGTAGCTTTCTCTTTAAAATTTAGATTGAATAATTATTATTAAAAAAACATTTTTGCAATATGTCGTTCTCATCACCTTCATGCTTTGGGCCTGTGCACACACCATTATATGGTGAGCTTTTTTTTTCTCCTCCTTCTCTTGTCTCTTTACTTTCCAGGGTCCCTTACCTTTTTATTTTCACTGGATCCCACTCTGTGGTGAGTGTTGTCCAGACAGGTGTGCTGCTATCAATACAATTCCACACTAGCAACCAACTTCACTGTACTTACTACCGGTTGAAACAGGCTCTGTAAAAATGAGGTGTTCCATAATACAATTCCACACTAGCAACTAACTTCACTGTACTTACTACCGGTTGAAACAGGCTCTGTAAAAATGAGGTGTTCCATAATACAATTCCACACTAGCAACTAACTTCACTGTACTTACTACCGGTTGAAACAGGCTCTGTAAAAATGAGGTGTTCCATAAGACCATCTATAAGCTAACCAGATGGTATTACCATTTTTTGCTGGACACTCACTTGTGGACTGTCATGAGTAAAGCTAAAGGGGATCATGCCCATCCCTGCTGATCATCGGATTGAATAACTTGAAGTCGGTTTGCTTTTAAAAATGTAGAGAACTTGGTTCACCTATTGCACTGTAGTTGGGGCCCCATCCTACCCAGGTCCTTGGATGTTTTTCCTAGATGTTGGTAGGAGTGGCACCAGCCTATGCGGGAGCCTGCTTATAATACTGGTTCAGAGTTGCCGCTCAACTACTTGGTTTAGCAAGTATTTTTCCCACTTTATAAAGAGATTTGGTATATTTTGTAAATTGCAAGATAAAAGTTTAAATCTAGTCCTGTGATTACTTATTCAATTTTTGTGTTCTGTCAAAATTATAAGTTTGTTGTTTGAATTTTGATTTTGTGCATTCATAATATGTACAAATAAAATGTGGGTTATGTATGAGTGAAATTTGGGTCATCCACTGCAATCCAATGCTTATTAATTCACCATAAAGTTCTGTGGCTTTCCCATCATTACAGATTTTACCTTGGATGTGTTGGTTTACCACACACACACATATATTTTGTATTGAAAACCTTACATATTAAGTTAAACTGTTACCTTCTTACTAAACAGAAACTTTTCCTTGGAATTTGATAGTATCCTTACTTTACAATCAAGATTTCAATGTATATTTACAATGAAGATTGATGAGACCTTATAGATTTGTTGTTTGAGCTGTCAACTTTTAAATCTAATTTGGGGATGTTGCATTCTCTTCTTCTGAAAGTTTCCTTATTAATCCTGGTAATCAAATATCTTTTTTGTTGTTTTGTAGGGGAGATTTTAGCTGCTGGCTATGACTAAGTTTACCTATTCCAAGAAAATGTGTGTCTTGAACATTTATATATTTTAATAAATTTAATAGCAGTTACTTTTAACTTATAGAAATATAATGACATGTCAACATACAGACTGAATTTTACATCTAGTAATATTTACTTATCTGGAGACATGATATGGTGAGTTATCTTGTAAGCTCAATCTGTATTTTAGCTTAATTTTTAAATGATAAATGTATGGTAGACAGAAATGTTTAATCTGCTGACAATAAATGTTTCTATGTTTTTCTTCACCAGGCATGCTCTGAGAAATTAAGTATAATCCAGTTCAGAGGATACAGTTAGTTAATATAAGTGATTACATTGAAAAATACAAGTAAATTTAATTACAATTACAAAAATTCTGATATTACTGACAAATTTGTAACTAATTTGTGGATGGATTATTTTGCTGTAGGCATGGATTTGGTGACTCCAGGAAGCCACTTTTGGAATCAGCCCAGCTTATTGAGGAGATTGTTCGTCAACAGCTGAATCTTCTGGTCAGTTAAAGAGAAGCCAATATTCAGTACTAAATATGATAACATTTTTAATCTCTCCTATTATCAAGACATAAAACAGATATGTAACAAAAAGTATTCATGAATACTTGCTCTAATTGTCTTAAGTAATTTATTTTTGATGTGTAAGAAAATATAACACAATGATAAGTTTTATGAGTTATTATAAAGTACTGGACAAAATATACATGTTTATAAAATGTATACAAATTAAGATTGTCAATGCTAGCATTTAGGTGTGAAGTATTTTTGAGATTATTAGTTGATAAAACAAGATACATCTATAATTGTCAGACATTTTGTGTTTGTTGTCATAAAACATACTTTTTTTTTAAGTTGGGGCTTATTTTATTAGTCTGAAAATCTAAGTACATTTGTGTTTTTATAATGAGGAGTTGAGAGTGCTTAATATAACCACAGTGAAAATTAATAAAAACTGTAAATGTAATATGGAAGAAATGCTCTTGTTCAACAAAAAATGCTTGTATATAAAAATGATAAGTTCACATGAGCAGGAATTTGTAAATTAATTCAAAATAAAAAGTATGGTAATCTACTTTTTATGTTCTACACAGCTATTTCAGAGTGGTGAAAATGCATCTCTTAGAGGAGCAAGGTTTATAGGGCTAGAAGATGTTCTGTTTCTTTTAAGAAAAGACAAGGTGAGTTAAAAATATGCAAAATATAGAACACTGTAAATATATGAAATATTGCATATAGAATACTGTAAATATATGAAATATTGCATATATAAACTGTCAAAAAGAAAAAAAAAGGTAAGATTAGTACTTTGTACTCTTAATGAAATATCAGAAGCTCAGAGAAATCACACTATTGAATATGTAATGCTTTGGTCCTTCTCACTCATTGGTTTTATATATTATTTTTTCATTACAAAGAATGGTTCAAAAAGTCTGGGTAAATAACATTAGAAACCTTTTGAATTTTAAACTTAATTTTGTTTGGTATGTCATTAAAAAGGTTTATTTATTCAATTGTTTTTCTACTGGTAAGTAAAATCATTTGGTGAGTAGAATTGTGTGGAAGTTAGCTGGTAGCTCCTTTTGAATAAGTATTTTCTACAAACATACAACTGATATTTCTTCTTGAACATACAAAATCTTGTAAAGATCCAGTTGACAGATCTTTTTTTTTAGAGCAGTAAAATCCTTTAAAGACCTACCAACTGGGTAAGGGAAAAGTCAAATAAGATTTCGAAGTTCGTGTTTTATAAACCAAACAATTTGTTTAAATAAATTCTTTTCATTCGATATACTGATGCTTCATTCCTTGTAGATATATCTTGAACATGTTTAGTAATAAATAATACAACATTTCTTGTCACTTTTATAATTGCATAAAGAAATTCTTAAGAATAAGAATATTTATTTGATTTATAAATGCAACATAATGTGACTAGAAGCACTTAAAAAAAAAGAAATCTGTCAGTTCATTGCATATTGTTTAATTTATATTTTGGAATCTACAAATATGGTTAATAATAATAATAATAATAATATTGGTTAATAATACATAAAATGAATGCAAAAATATATCAGATGCTATATATGATCTAAAAAAAAACCCGTTTTTTAGGTGAAATTGTCAAGAGTAATAAAATACCTTAACTTGAAAGATTTGAAGCATTCAATTGTTAAGGGTTCTGGAATAGAGGAAGAGGAACTGGTGGAAAGTGCAGGTAGCGCAAGTTAATATATGTGTGTGTGTGTTGCCACCTAGTGAGAAGAACAGTTATATGTTGAGGATTAATGTTAAACAACTAAAATGTACTAAATACAGTCTTATATATGTGTAATTTGTTTTCATAGTGGCCTGTTAGTTTGAATATTTTCCAATATATGTATATATATATGTGTAATTTTATTGTATTAAAAAAAAATTATATAATCAAACAAGAACTTCAGGCAAGTGCTTTAATATAATTTTTATTTTATTTTAATTCTCTGAACATATGCAGAATAAAAAAGTGGTATATCATTATCTTTATTTATATTTGTTTATTAAATTTTAACACTTCCTACTAGTCCATGTATTTACAAATAATTTACAGGTCAGTTTTCATAAAGAAAATCTCATCATCAGTTAGGCTACTGATCAGATAAATGAGGTTTACAATGTTATTTTATGTTGTTTCGAAAATATATATAAGAGTGGAGAAAATAAAGATTTATGCCTAATCTTGTATTATTTGGTTTTCTTAATTTTGAAAATATAATGTAATAATGTTTAATATTTTCTCCTCATTTTTATTATGTGGTTTTTAATGACATAACTGAATCTAGTTAGTTGATTTAATTTTATAGAAAATGCAATTTTCCTGCAAGTCTTTCTTTATTTTCAATAAAAAGTATTTATTAAGTTATATATTAAGTTATATGATTATAATAAATAATTAAAAACAACGTTTCTTATTTACGCAATTTAAAATTTTATTGAAGCCGTATGGCTTCCACTTTAAAAGGACACTACATGTACAAATTTTGATGTGATCTATGTCATCTTCAGGATTTACTTACAATAATGCTAAATTTAAACCAGAAGTTTGGATAAGATATGCAGATGACACATTTTTAGTGTGGCGACACGGGAACAGTAAACTACAAAAATTTTTTTTAGTTATTCAAATAGTAAAGAACCATCAATTCAATTCATATGTGAAATTGAAGAAAATAATAGCATTAATTTTTTTATTTAGATATACTATTCAGAGAAGAAATTGAAGATAACTTAGAAACATCAGCTTATAGAAGACCATTTGCTGTTATTATGCCACCACACAAAGAATCATGTCATATAAAAACACAAATATCTCTGCATTTTACACACATATATAGAGCTTTAAAAATGTGTTCAAGACAGGATGATGTAAATAACGAATTGTTATTAAATAAATATATAGCTATTGAAAGAGGATTTGAACCAAATATAGTAAACAAAGCACTTAAGTATTTTAACAAAGGTACAAATTTAAGTAAAAATACCACACTAAGATCTGTTTATGAAGAAAAGAATCATTAAGTTTACCTTATGTTCCAGGTTTAACAAGTTAATTATATAAAGTATTTAAGAACCATTAGCATTTTTATTCTATATTCAAACCAATAAATAAGATGAAAAACATGATAGGGAATACTAAAGATAAAATAGAATTAATAGATAAAATGGGTATTTACAAAATAGAATGTGAATGTAGTTGTATTTATATTGGTCAAACTAAAGGAAATTTAAAATGCAAGAACATAAAGGTTATATAAGAAATAATAAAATAGAAACCTCAGCTATAGCCGAATGTGTAAAAACTAATCAACATAAAGTATTATGGGAAAAAACTTTAATTTTGGCTCAACCTCGTAGTATTATATCATTAAATATTAGAGAAACATTAGAAATAATGAAGTATCAAACACAAAAAGTAGTACTAAATAGAGATGAAGGACCAGCAAGTCAAAATGTTGATATATGGCGAGATGTATCATTAAAAAGAAGTAGATCAAGGAAATATTTAAATAATAGTGAAGCAATGCAACAAGGGGTAAAAGTATAAAGTATGTCTGGTAAGTAACTCCTGAAGATGACTAAGATCATTTTGACACTTGTACATGTAAAGTGTCATTTTGAAGTGTAAGCTGTATGGCTTCATTAAAGTTTTAAATTGTGTAAATAGGAAACGTTGTTTTTAATTTTTTTATTATAATTTTTAAATATTTCACAAATGCTGTTAGTTTATATTAAGTTATGGTTTTGTTTGTATCTTACAGAGCACTTATAAATCACAAAATCAATAAATGCTTATAACTGAAACTTAAGGCTTTTTCTTATTAAATATTTGTTTTCATAAAGAACTGTAAGAATTTAAATGTTTCGAAAAGGTTTCATATATAAGAGAAAGTTTTAATATTTTTGTATTATATATGACTTTCTTTTATTATAACCATTACTGTCAAAAGACATAATTATAGCACCTTGGATGTTTTGTCTTCTTTATAGGTTGACATTGTTTACAAACTACATTCTATAATAACAATAAGGTGGTGAATAACAATGGGTGTTGAATTATTGTATGTGTTGTATTAGGCTTAAATGTTTTTGCTCATATTGTTTAGATCATTGATTTAAGTTCTGTTGTTAGTTACAGATAATATTTTGATTTGTTTGATACATGGATTTTGAAGGCATAATTGTTGATAGCATTTTGCATTTATTTATACATTATTATCTCGGCAGAAAAAAGTAATCTTTGATTCAACTAATCTAGTGTTTCATTTACAAAAGTTAATTTAATTTTCACATAGGTGGAAAGGAAAAAGAAGAGAACAAAATAGCAATGGCTAAAATGAAAAGGACAAAATTGTGTTATGATTTTTTGAGTTCCATTGATCAAACAGGAGAATTGTTAACTGCTTTTGATGAAGACATTTTTGATGAAGTAAAACTGGACAGACAGACTGTGAGTATTTAATCTTTAGAAATGTACATTGTAGTCCTTTTTATTCACCGTTTATTGATTTCTCCTTTAATGCTCCATGTGATGACTGTGCATCTTGACAAGAGCCCTGCAGCACAATTTCTATTGCAAAATGCTCCATCATAAGGCCGTTGTGTTCATAGCAAACATCCCTCCATGCTTTCCATAATCCATCTACTCTTTGGGGTGTCCCAGTGACTAGTTGAATAGTTCAATTGTACAGTACTGCATCCAGTGCCTGAACCAGCATGTCTTGCTATAGAATAGCATGATTACACATTTCATCTTCCATCTGCTTGAGGTATGTGTTGGTTGAATGGGTATGACCTGGAAGCAATTGGTGTACCTGTCACTTGTATCACTTTTTCAGATAAAGTTCCTTCTTGATTATGTTGCATACTGTTGCCTGGGGCATTGGATGGTTGTTGCCACTGGCCTTTGTATTCATGAATTCTCACCTCTTACAAGATGCTGCTCATTGCTTTCCAAATAACACTTCTGACAGTAATGGTTCAGTCTGTTGTAAACCCACAGATATAATAGTACCATTTTATCCTAAATAAAAAATCATTAACAGATTAAACAAGAGTGAGGACAATTTCAACTCTGTTTTTCCAGCACTGTTTTTTTTTCGGCCGGTCACGTAATGCTGACAGTCAGGAGAGTTTGACAACCACAACTCTCCTACAACTTATTGCCTGCTCATTGCTTACCATGGCTGGGAGGCAACTTGTTCCTTTGTTTTCAAATTAAATTCAATTTATATCCCCATCATGGAAATTCTAAATTCCCAATCTAAACACATCTTTATTCTAGTGTATGAATAATGTGCATTGGAAAGGGCTGTCACATACACCTCCCAAAAGTGATTACTTTTTCTTGGCATTACATTGTCTACAAAATGTCCAACAATATGGATATGCTATTTTGATACCTTATATTCCACCACAACTTTATATTGGCTATGGTTGTCATGTAACTTGCTGAGTTGAATATTCAAAATCATTTTAATATAACTTACTCAACCCTCTGTAGATCACTCACTTTATTTTTAATATATTTCAAAGTTACTAAGAAACTATAAAATTATATATTGCAACAGATTTTTTAACAAATTAGATGATCAGACTCCTAAATTTACTTTATTAATGCTATAATTGTTGTATGTTAAGTAAATATATTAAAAAGGTATTTCATATTAGAGGTTTATGCCATGTATACACTCTGCACACATTTTTTTTCTATATTGGGAAAAATCTTTGGGTCACTAACCAAATGTCAAGATCACAAACTAAAATACAAGGCCATTAGAAGACCTTTTTTAATTGGAATAAAACTACAGGGGGGCATCTAATCTAAGGTTTAATTATATAAACCTTATGATAATAGAATGTTCTTTTCATCGATAAGTGGTCAATTTTTTTATCTTGATTATGTTAGTAAGCAGATTACATATATATGGTTGAAGATCTGAAAAAGGCCTGCAGGAATTGTGCTTGATCATATAGTGGTTGGCACTTAGTGGCAGTTCATCACATCTGTTTGAATTTTTGAGTACATCAAGCTTATTTTTCTGTCCTAAATAAAAAACATTAACAGATTAAACAAGACGATACATAAAAGGATTTGTTTTATGCTGAATTTTTAGCAAAACCACTCAAGGACTAAATGTGCTACTTGTTCCTAATTTAGCAGTTATAGACTAAAGGAAAGGCAGCTAGTCAACACCACTAATCTTCAGGGTACTTTTTCACTGAAAAGAAAGTGAGATTGATCATCACATTATAACACCCTTACTGTTGAAAGGGTGAGCATGTTTGGTAACAGGATTTCAACCTGCAACCCACAGATCGTGAATCGAGTACCATAGTCACAAGGCAACAACAACAAGAACAAAAAAGAAACAGAATGAAAAATTAATAATTTTCT